AGCGTATTTGGACGAGCGAAACAGGCGTCATCTAGTTCTTGTTACCTCAATTGTTGACAACAAATCTGATATTGATTAGCAGCAATAATTGTCTCTGTTCCCTTACATTTATGATTTTATTTCTGCTCATGGAAAACTTTGGAGTTGCCAGTGCGTATCGTATGTACATTTAAACAGTATCATGGCGGCCCTTAAATGACGTTTTTTCAATTGTTCTTAGGTGAGCTCAGAGTTATTCATGTCAATGGTCCAGCACATTATTTATTGAATAAACAAAAAATAATGACAAAGAAAGAAATAGATTAATATACAGTTTCAATTGTCATGCAAATAAAGGAGTAAATAAGATAGGAAGAAATACATTTTAAATTTTATTATCCAGAGATATAACTATTACAGGCAGAAGTTGGTAGCGAACAGTATAACCTCCAACCAAATCAAAAGCTTAAGTAACGTTGTAGTAATTGGCTATTAAAAATTACCTCTTGTCGACTTTTGGTCTCCGAGGCATTTAAAGATACTACGTAAGTTTATGATAAGTGATTTTATCTGCACATTCATTTATGGTTTTTTTTCTTTATTTTATTTATTAACTTTCAACGTAATTTACCAGAGTTCAAGCGGCAGTTGTGAAGTTATTGGCGACGAAGTTGTGCAATCAATTTACTCTTTATCGCCTTAATCTTAAAATAAATAGATTAGATCGTGTTTGGACAGTAGCCAATAAGTCTTAAAGATCTGAAAAAAAGAAAAATAAATAAATAAATAAAACAAAAACAACAAAATAAAAAAGCAAAGAAAAACATAATACCCCTTCCAGAAAAAAAATCACCCACCTGTTCTCATATCGAGGGCTATAATATGCTTGTAATCAGACATGTAATATGTTCTCAGAATATTTTTTTTAAAAAAAATCATTAAAAACTATTCGATGCTTGGAGTAGATAGCTTATAATCATATCTAAGTTATAAAAATTGATTCCACACTAAGGATTAAACCCAAACTAGCCATCATTGGTTGAGATGTGAGCACAGGACGAGAATCTTGTTTTCAGAAATACATGCAACAAGGGCATAACTGTGGGTCCCAATATCCAACATTTATGTAGCAATAAAACATTATTTGTTCGCGCAATATGTCTAACAAGGTTTTTAGGGTATGCCCTATTGAATTTGTCACCGATATATATATATATATATATATATATATATATATATATATATATATATATATATATTACTAAAGACGCTGTTTTTGATCTTTCTTTTACTAAATAACGTTAGGTAGTTAACTCGAAGAAAACGAAATGAACTTGAGATCAGCGACTTCTACTTTTCATGTAACGGAAATGTATATGTGACGCATAGTTTTATTCATTGTCATTGTACAGTCGTTTACGTTGTTCGTCCTAAGTTAAACTTTATGCAGCAAATACGTTTAGCAAAGAAAACTACACATTTAAATTTGAAACACATTATGTCGAAGCTAAATGCGCTCATACAAGATACAAAATAATTTTTGATAATTTCCTCCGATAGATGCATCGATATGCAATTTTAGTCTATTTGTTAGGACTAGATTAGCCATAATATTAAAAAAGCTTGAAAAGTGCTAGAAGTCTACATATTGTAATTTTCCTTCGAATTAATTGTACATATGAACTCTTGCACGTGTATTTTAGTTTTACTCGTTTTCTTGTCATAATTTCTTTTAAGTGTAACACAGCTGGATTTTTTTATGTTGTTGTTGTTGGTATAGGTTTTAACGCCATTTTTCAGCACAAGATAGGCTATACATGACGGCCATTATTATTGGTGGGGGAAGAACCCTGGAAAATCCCAGGAAGAACCACCGACCCACGAGAAGTTACTGGCAGGCTTTCTCACCTACCCTCGTTAGCCGAGTCTGGACTCGCACTCACGCAGACAGAGTTGAGATGGCAGTGATCCGTAACGGTCAGTGCTTAAAATCACTCGGCTACTCGCCTCCCCCTTCCTGGATTTTTGAACTAAAGACAATACAAAAATAATAATGAAGTTCATCAGTGTTAATAAAAGATATCATGCAAAATGTAAGTAAAGTTTCTTCAAACTGCAAATCCAGCACGAAAATTCCACGCACATAAAGGTAATTTAAGGTTGAATAACAATCACGTCTCAGTATTCTGCAAAGTCTAAGGAATAACACATATTCGATAATTTCGAAACATTTTGTCTTTTTTATATTATTCCAAAATAGGAAAAACATTAAAAAATTCTGAAACACTATATAGTAGTTTGTATAAGATTTATTTTAGATTAAGATTTTATTTGACATAAAAGTTGAAGAAATTGCTCATTTTGATGACTCAAGTAATAGAATGTGGACTATATGCTGTCATTCATATGTACTGTTTGTTCATGTACATTTAATTTCTAAGATATGAAATATTTAAGTACTAAAAATATGAATGAAACTTTAGATCATTTTGTAATTTACATGTATTTGGGGATTGATGTACCTAAAGTAGCGTATAATATATTTATGTTACTCTTGTTTCCATGTGAGGATATGATGATTGCTCTTCAGAATCGCAGCAATTAAAATACTGCTGACCTCGGTACTCCCACGCAATTTGTGCACACAACACATTTTCAAGGACGATAATTCATAACCTCATACTTCATATGTTTTGCAGCTGCAGGGATTGGCGCTGTCCATTGTCTATACACATTTGAACTATAGTGCTAGGTAAGTTGCAAGTTTTCTTTCATTATCATTCTATTTACAGTTACAGTAACATACTAAGTTACACAGTCTTGATATTTGGCACGCATGATGTGTATACTTCTACAGTAATTTTCATGATATTTTACATAACAATCTGTGAATATTTTTTGTACATATGACGAGATTATAAGAAAAACTAAAAACTTCTTCTTGAGATATAAGACCAAGCATGCCAACAAAAGAATCTACATAGTTCAGCACCATCTAGATGCAATAAAAATAATGTATTTGGAAGCATTTGCACCAGACAAAATCTTTGAGAGGCACGAAGTGTATATATCAAGTCGTCCTTAAGGTTGAGTGCGGTGGACACAAAAATCTCAGGGACCATCTGGAATGTATCTCGATAACTTCGCACTTGAAAACGATTGAAAAAATAATAATTTAAAAAGTAATAACTAATTTTTTCTGCAAGTAAATGATTAAGACATAATTGTTACCAAGCTTAGCTACACATGCTATATGTACTATGAATCAGACGTTGGGATGTTGAGTCGAAATTGTAATTTCTTGACCTGCCGAAAAGCTGCAGTACAATATGCTGTCGAAATTGTTGATTTCAGAAAAAAGAAAGAATAACGACACTAGTTATCGTCGCAATAATCAACGTTTAACCACAGGAGTCATCAGTTTTATCAATAAACCTAGACGAAATGTATGATAACATGAAATCAACTTAACGGTATTATAAACTAGCACAGCGAATGTATGCGTGAGCACAACCTTCCACTCGATTCGAATTTTCTCACGCGTCTTTTATCTCTTCTGAATCACACGAAAACTGATAAACTACACATATCCAGTAACGTACCTTTGTATCCCTCTCGGACGACTATCGCACAAATTCAATCTGGAAAATTAACCTTTATTTTCACCATTACGGTCAAAAACCATGAAAAAACGAACCAATTTCCTTTAGGAGATTGTGTCCATTACTTTTCCACCGATAGTTGCATGTACATTGATCACTCCGGAGACTGTCATCCTTATTTTGAAGCCTAACGTTTAGGACAGTGAACAAACAAACACCAAGCAGAGACTATTCAGAGTTTTGCCAGTGCTACTCCTAAATAAAACTTTAAGACTGAGATGGTTACAACAGCTTGTATAGTACTCTATTCTTCAACACGACTCGATTCATCTGAATGGGGAGCAACGCATTTTGCATGTGTACCTTAGTCCCTGAATATAATGAATTTCATTTACCTGCAAATTTATAACCATTTCGTGCAAATTGGGACGATCATAACTTTATATGTGCACGAGAAACCTAACTACCTCAATTAGTGGTAAATATGACGTGATCGCCTCTGTGTGCAGAAGAGATTTATTTGATTTTATCAAGCTTAAATTGTTATTATTCCGTGGTCTTGAACAGTGTAACATAAAGAAGTAAAAACCACGACATGTTTTAAAACTGAAAATATACTTGAAGTTTTTAAACGAAAAGCTAAGAGGACTATATTATTGTGAATTAAATGCAAAATAATCTTAAACTTCTATCACAATTAAAAAGCCTATGTAGTGTTATAAATGAAATACAGGCCTTGAATGTGCTGATGCACTAAAAGCATTGAGGAGACAACAGTCTCTCTGTATCATTATCCAAGATGTATATGCATAAATACAGCAATTTCAAAATATGTTTAGTCTGAGAGTTCATATGACCTATGAGCATATTTAAATTGCAGTAACGAGTATCAATAAATAATTCATCTGAACAATATATGAAACAATTTTGCAGCCTGAAAGTATAATAAGAACAGCAATACAAACGAATAAGAATGAATAATTATTAACGCCTTTCGCCTTGTATAAATCTTCAAGAATCTATTAATAAACTTTATATATATATATATATATATATATATATATATATATATATATATATATATATATATATATATAGTAGAAACATTGTAGTCTCTTAGCCATATAAAGCCATCTTTCAAAAATGGCTAGCTAATGTTAGGTTTCCATAATAGGAATATTTCGAGTTTTATCACTGTAGTACCATAACTTAAGTGGCTTAAGTGGTTAGAGCGTCCTCCTTGGATGTGGCTTTACTAATTTTTTATCACGACAATGCCTGCAGTGTGTCAGTTTATGCTGATGTTTAGCACTGAGGCATCATGCCGCATACATGTAGCATGATGTCCACCCAGTCACATTATCCTGTTATCAGGCCGATCAGTCCTAACACTAACCTCTTGATGCTGAGTATTTGGTATGACTCGGCAGGAAATCGAACCCACGCCCTCCGGCATCAGAGGCTGACGCTCTAGGGACTAGGCCACCGGAGCTGTTAAATCGGAAGGACAAGCATTGTTTCAGATGTGTACACAACGGATCAGCCTACATCTTACATACAGTTATTTGAGCCATTTTGTCCTTCGCTGCAACCTTCCCCATCTCACAAGCCAGACCTTCTTCCACCCTCTCCACCTGTTTGAAGTTTACATTTCGACAATTGGTACCCAACACTAATGTATTTATGTTTCGTCGGCGATAAATTGATTTCACCCTACGTCGACCACGTACGCTGATAAAAATCAAATTTGGACCTAATTTTATTCGAAAGGAAATATTAAAGTTATGGTCCGATAGGTACATTGAATGGTATCTTGATTTCTGTTCTCAAAATATCTTGAATGCGATATTGTTGAAAGGTGTAAACATTATTTAGCCTCCTATATGTCAAACGGGTTCGTCAAATATCACAAATAAAACGGTTTAAGGACCTCGATTGATAAAAATAAAATGTTTTTAATGCTGACCTTACTTCAGTTTGTATAAAACTTGAATTCTTGAGGCTTTTGCATTGGCTTGTCACAGTACCCATGTCTCTTACAGCACAGGCATACATGATAAGCATTTGTACGGTAGAAACAAAAACTAATTCACAAAAAGTAAAACATAATTCTTCAGACCAGATGCCTGGTTTATAGCGAATAAAATTGGCACTTTGTAAAGGCTAATTCAGCTTGATTGTACGATTAAGCGATGTCAAGAGGCGCATTATCTGGTGACTTGTTTTTTTTCTTCACATGCGATAATGAGAGTTCATACTTACATATTACTTAAATGTACCTTGTCTTTGTGATATATTACCTACGATATGTGTGTTTTGAATGCTCGAGAATGCAATGTAAGTACTGAGTGGGGGGGGCGATATAGGATCACATAAGAGTCTAATATTAAGTTTAGTCGTTTGCACTAAGGGGTAAAATAGGACTTTAACATGGGCCAGTTTAGTCTCAGTAGGAATTGATATCACGGTACTTGCAACCATATTGCGAGTGACTGACCTCAATCGGGCGGAACAGTGAGGCAAGGGGCTAACTTGAATACGCGCTATTCTAGGAACAAATAGAGACCTAGATATAAAGATGTGGTTAGAGGCAGAGTTAGGGACATAAATCTATGAAACAAAACATTAGACAAAATATATAGGCAAGATCCTTCATTCTTCTTCACTACCAGCACCTCATTTCTTCAGGACATTTTTCTTCTTGTCTTCTATTTTTCTCATACTTCCATCTAAAATTATCTACAGCATTTAGAAAATTCTATGGAGAAACCTAATATATATATATATATATATATATATATATATATATATATATATATATATATATATATATGCAATAAACTGACGACGAACAGTACAAAACTAGTAACTAACTAGCCTAAGCGCTTTCGACTCTTAATGAGTCTTTTTCAAAGGCAAATACAAAACATATATACGATAAACAAATAATCACAAAAACGTTGTATTTGTAAACCTCTAAATGGCTGTCTTCACATGTGCTAAAGCTATAAATACAACCAGCTTGTATAGAGTAGATGCGGAAACTGAAAACGTTGTATAATTCCCTAAAAGTCTACAAGCCAAAGTGACATCTACTTTTACTTTTTGTACATATGTAATGCAGATTATATCCCGGATATTTGATTCTATACCGGTTATTCTTATAGTAAAAATTGAAGGATAATAAGAAGATTTAGAAAATGTTAAATTTTACTAGTGCATAGTTTTCATTTTCTAGTCTTCTTGGTTTAGACCGCTTGGTTTCAATGTTCTAAGGCGGCGTATCCAGTATGATTCCTTTTCCTTCCTGGTTTCGGAACTCCAGCTATGGTTGTTAGCAATAGCGATAAGTATTATATCACTGAAAGTGTGGCCAGGGGAGGAGAAGTGTTCTGCGACCGGGCTTCTGTACAGCTTTTTTGTCATCCAATCAGATCTATGAAGGTTTATCCTTTTATGTAGCTTTTGAGTTTCTCCGACGTACTGAAGGCCACAGATCTAACATGTGATGAGATAAATCACATACATTTGAAGAGCTTAATGTTCCGATGTTATTCTTCTATTTTGCTGGATGGGTGCAATGCAAAAATTCTTCTATTTTGCTGGATGGGTGCAGTGCAAAAATTCTTCTATTTTGCTGGATGGGTGCAATGCAAAAAATGCACATGCCTTATTGGTTTTCCTGTTCCTTTGCTCTATACAAATTTAAAAATCGCTCCTTCCTGAGTGTATCATATTGCTTAATATTTCATTTCATGACATTGGGAAGAATACAGTAGTCGGAACAATTTACAGCTATGATAGCATGCCTTATGGACAGTTTCGTCGAATTATTATTAAGCTATTTGCGTCAGGTCAATGGAATTACAACTTCTGAAATGCTATTCATAACCACATGATATTCAAACGTTTGTCTTGCATTCTTGAGAGATGTAAAATTACATGTAATTATCATGTAGATCATTTTCAGTCAGGACTTCATACATCAACTTTTCAATAATGTTAGTGCTGTTATTTAAGGATACCTGTCTTGGTGACCTCTCGATTTTTTTAAAATTTATTTTGAGGGGATGGGGAGGTGGATAAAATGATATGAATCGGTTACCACTACATAGTTGTTTTGTTTTTTTTTTTGCGCACAAGTCGGAGATTAAAGCAAATTCCAAAGGGCGAGACATTCAACTTTATAATTCAATAGATTTTATAGAAATTTAGATGATTACATTCCCACAACACGGTATAACAATGGGAAATAATTCTCATTTTATATGAAAAGAGGCAGATTTTGAATTTGTATAGACAAGACGTGCACGAGGGAAGACTTTTGAAAATATTACTCAAGTTTCATATTCTCATGAAAGAAGCTAAATGTCGTGAATGAAAAAAAGTTACAGGAATGGATGTGAATCAGTTATATTGGTTGTTTAACAAATGAATAATAATTCTGGTTTCAAGCCATAATGGCATCGCGATAAAGGAAATGTATAGCTGGTTCAAAACATATTTGATCGACAATAAATATGCTCTGTGATTAGGAATAGCTTCCCCTGATTGATATCTTGCTCTCCCTTTAGAACTATACAAAGCACGGGTTTTGTGAGAAGTTGTCCTCTTCCTGGACTGCTACCTATGCAACCAAATAGTCCCTAAAGGTTAAATACCTTTGCCCAACCAAGCAAGGTATTTATTGTGTGTTGAAAACAAATACACAAAGTTAAATCTTCATAACATGATATACAAATATAAAGTAAAGCTAGCATCATCATCTCGAAGAGAGAGAGAGAGAGAGAGAGAGAGAGAGGGGGTGCGTGTGTGTGTTGAGTATATCACTGCCCAGATCGTTTTAGAATATATAATGTATCTGTATATGCAAAACAATTAGTTTATTTCAGTGCGATTAGCATTGCCCCATACAAAGATGATTAAAGGTCCAATGTTGAAGTTTCTGATTTAGCTTAGCTTTAATTTTCCATACTTAAATATTTTTTGACGTAATGTTAGCAATTCTTCAGTCACAGTTCTACCATGTCTGCACTATGGTAGTTTATAGTGATGTCTAGAACTTGTGCATCATGCTGCAGACATGATGAAAGATGTCCAATCTAGTCACATTATCCTTAAACTAGGCCGACCAATCTTCACACTAACTTCTTAATGCTGAAAGCCAATCCAGGCAGCTGTTAGTACCTTTGCATAGGTTTTTGATATGACTCGGCCCGGGGCTCAAACAGGAGATCTACAGCATCCGAGGCGGATGCTCGAAACAACTAAGCCACCGAAGCGGTCTCGAATCGCTAAAGTAAGAGCTATCTAATTCACAGCTTAAAATGTATGTTCTGTCATTAAGTGTTTCGATATATTATCTTCAGCAGAACATATTTTAGAGGCGTAACTTCATATTGGTCTACACGTTTGTGTAGAAATACCGCACAAACAAACAAACATACACACACACACACCGATCAATTTCAAATTCATTTGTTGAAACATTTTAGCATGTCTGTAGTCAGAGACATTACGATGACGAACTATGACCTCCATTAAAAGGTGAAAAACTATAATTCTTCAGAATGAAGAAAATTATAAACATGGTTATAAAGTTAGAGAAAAAGTTGTAGAGATAATAATCAAATCAACCTTCCAAACAACCCTCTAGCCAGTAAATCATTTAAAAGACTGACTTATAACGCACACATAAGTAAACAGATAAGTAGATTAACAAACCAGCAAGTAGAGATACTAAGCCGTTGAATTTCCATTCATATTATGATGCTTTTAAATTTGCATCTGTTACCTACCTTCACAATACATATCTATACTATAATATGCATACAAGAATGACTGTACAATAAACATGCCCATTGACAACAAGTGTAGTGTTGAATGTGTCTGGTAAAGGCAACATGTTTATTTGGCTTCGGCACGGCTTGACCTATTGTCGTCTAATGTGCATTGTACTTAAAATGACTAGGTCACATGTGTTAACTTACATATTTTCACAGCTGTATGATTTGCTAATTTTTGTATTCCTTTACTCTTTAGTTGGTAAAGTTTGCCATCAAGAATATCAAACGTGGTGCGCGTCATTTATAACATTAAACAGAAAAGTATGCAGCATGGCATTATTCTAATGGAATTTTGGGTGATATAAAATCACTCTTGTCCCGAAAACAAGATACTAAATTCATTTAATTTAAAAGAGCTTAAACAGTGTGGTTATTTAGAAAACGCAAATTGAAAAGAATGTCTTTATAGCTGACGTGATAAGCAAAGCAATGAGACCATGATTTCAAGTTATATATCCATTCATATCGAAAAGTGACAAACGGATAAGAAAAATAATACAGCACAACCTTGGAAATGGCAGGCTGACTGAAGCTCTATCTATTCATCCATCCATCCATCCATCCATCCATCCATCCATCCATCCATCCATCCATCCATCCATCCATATCATCCATCCATCCATCCATCCATCCATCCATCCATCCAT